TTAATTTAAAAAAATAAAAAGTTCCCAAATTTATTATTTCAGTCAAATAAATATCTACTTAACATGTTAATTTTTTGTAAATAATGACATGTATTGACTAATTCCATTCTAAATATTTTGAGAACGGTTGCTCGTAGCGATTTTTTTAAGAGACATTTTTACGAAAAAAATCACGAAGATGTATATTTTTTCACTTAGTAGTTTTATACAGGTACGAACGAAAAGTTATTACTTTTCAAAACAGTTAAAACACATGTAGGTGGCGCCCCCTACAAATAGGAGTCATATTGATCAAAATCAAATTTCTAATGTTAAAAAACTCCCATACACCAATTTTCACCCAAATAATGTCGCTACTTCAGAAATTATTTAGAAAAAATCGAAATAAAAATGTAACTTTTACACATTGTATCTCCGAAACTAAGCATTTTAGGACATACATACATATACGAACTTTACTTATTTTTATGTGCAGAATATGCTGCCGAAGTGTCCGGAACACAGTTCGGATCACCCTGTATATTTTTCAGCCTATTCTTAAACAAATTAAATCTAACCAACTAATAGAATCATATCAATTCTCTCTGATGTAGGATAAGTTTCCATTTTCAAATTTGCAAATTTCTGAGAATCTTTATTGTTTTAACTGACACAAAATGACAACTAGTCGTTAAAATTCGACAACTATGTTATATAGTAACGTAAGACATATCACAGCCACTTAGATTTTATCAAATAAACATCTACTGACTAAATCATAAAAATGAAAATATCTAAGAAAATAACTAACCTATAACCTTAATATTCTTAATAATATTTTGAAGAGACATGATTCCCCATTGAATATCGGAATAATATACTGGGTGTTCCATTTAAAGTAAACTTGCTTTTAAATGGTACCAATGTTCAACATTAATTTTGACTCACCCTGTATAAGTTTTAACCATATACTTCTGTATAAAACTCATATTCATTTTTCTCCCAGAATCCGAAAATCAATTAATATATAGGGTGTTCCATTATAAAAAACACAACTTTGATATGTAACTTTTTTTAGGGACACCCTGTAAAACTCTATATTTTTAAAAAATGCTCGAAATTAACCTACATATGCTCACAAAATTTCATTTCAATACAAACTGTCGTTTTCCTTGGAGCCTCCGCATCGTATGAGAGGTGCCAACCTGTACTTGTTCTTTCAGTAAAAATCAGAACCCTAATATTGTTCATTAAATTGCCGGTATAATAATTTTGTTTTAAAAATAATATAGACATAAACCCTATAAAATAACTAAATAATCCTTTTGCTGCATATTTATTTAGTTTTTACATAGGTTTTACTAAAAACAAACAACCTAATAATAAACATTGCAAAAGTGTGGTTACCTTTAGTCAAAGACTACAAAGACGGGACAGCCGGCAAAAGATGAAACGTTTTTGACTTCGGCTCTCAGTGACCTCGTCCCTTTAAACTGCGACTTCTAGGAGACTTCCATTATTGCCATACTGATTTTGATTCAACAAAATTTCATCATAAATTATGCATGCTATAGTATAATGAACATATATTCTTAATGAAATATGATGAATATTTTAAATCTTTAAAAATTATTTATATTCTTGAGAATATTTAATTGAACATTTCGAATATTTTTGTATATATTTTTGATGAATAATACCTGTATTTTAAGTTATTATGTAAAGTATGGCAACATTGAAAAAAATTGACAAGGTTGGACTAGGTCAGAAATTTTCTAACCTTATATTTTTGTTTACGCTTTTACAAGTTTGACAATTTTAATATTTATTTGAAATATTTAATACCGTAATTGTTACTTAAATAAGAAAAAAAAAGTTATTGTGTAGTGTCATCGCCAACGTTTTAATAGATACTTTCATAAAATATGAAAATAAAAACAACAGAAAATGTTAAGACATTGGCGAAGAAAAAATAAAAAAGAGTATTATTTATAATGGAAAATTTTCTCTAATATTCCCCTAAAGACTTTTCTCTACATTCCTTGTGAAAATAATCTCTATAGTTTTTTTTTGTATTTTAACACCACTAAAATTTAGATAAATCTAGATGTCCACATAGTTCATTCCACTTTCAAGACCTAAAAAATATAAACAAAAATTAAGGCCATAGTAAAAATATGTTTATGATTTAATATACTATAGTTTCAAGCCCATATAAATATCAATAAATATTGAATATTAAATATCATCTTTAAATAATTTCCTGAAAATTTTCATCATATAAAGTACATAAATAACAGCTATGATTCTTGGTTTTCTTAAATAAAATTTAATCTTCAATTAGCTATTACACTTTCGAAAATATTTAAATTCAACTGTGTTTCTATTCAACTTAAATCGATAATTTTTACTTGCCTGTTGTCGCCTACTTGATATTTTCTTAAAATAGTATTTTTGTATTCTTTGGGGGTAGATCGAAACGACTCGAAGGTATTTTTTCTATCCAAACACCAACTATTCAATATATTCTTGACAAGTTCACAAATCATACGGAAAATAATTTTTAACGAAGCAATTTTAAAGAAATAATTCGTAATCTAACCTTTCAAAACATTAGGCGAAAATAAACTTGCCAGATAGAAATACAATGTTGCCATGTATAAAAAATTTTACCTGAATTTTAGGAAACTATAATTTACTACAGTAAAATTTTTTTAGTAACACAAAAATATTACATTTATAATAGTATCTAAATGAATATAACTTAGACGTAATTATTTTAGTGCATTGATATTTATATATTTAGTATTATAATTCGTTTTATAATAAGATATACTTTATTGAATTCAGTTATCTGTTTTATACTTGGCAAGAATGTAATTGCTTGGAAATTGTTCCTTTAAAATGCGACCCCGTCTGTCTTTTTCTAAAATCGTTTCTCTGTCCCACTGTCCCGTCTTTGTAGTCTTTGGTACCATCATATTACAGTGTCACCGAACATACGTATCATACAAAGTTTAAGCCCAATCGAACGCCAGGAAATTGTATCGTAATATGGTACTACATTATGGTACCCCTTGATATGCTTCATGGTACCATAATATTGCAATGTCATAAAAAATACGCAGGTATAATCAAATATGAGTCCAATCGAACGTCAGGAAGTGGTATCATAATATGGTACTATAGAAGGTACCACTTTATATGCATCAAAGTACCATCATATTACAATGTCACCGAACACACGTAGTATACAAAGTTTAAGACCAATTGAACGCCAGGAAATGGTATCGTAATATGGTACTACTATATTATGGTACCTCTTGATGTACTTCATAGTACCAAAATATTGCAATGTCATCAAAAATACGCAAGTATAATCAAATATGAGCCCAATCGAACGTCAGAAAGTGGTATCGTGATAAGTTACTATATTAAGGTACCACTTTATATGCATCATAGTACCATCATATTACAATGTCACCGAATATAAATACTATACCAAGTATAAGTCCAATCAAACGCTGGGAAGTTCAATTACAATCAGACGTCACAAAGTGATTATAATTCAGCTCGTAAGATTTAACTCCAACTAACATGGCAAGTTAAATACCTAAACGTTTGAAAAAAGAGCTCTGATCTATTTTAATATGTTTAAATGATGTAGCAAATTTGAAGGTAGTCTTTATAAGGAAGTATTACAATATGGCAACGCTGCATAAAATTCTTTTAAATTTCGTTTGTAGAAAACTGTTTTCTTTTAAATTTATCGCCCTCTACTATGTATCAAAATATCTCATCTACCGCATCAAAATATCTCATTTGGAGACAGGCTTTAAAAGCCTCATTTGGAGACAGGCTTTAAAGCTTTAAAAGCCTATCTCCTTTTGATACCTACGATTTTATACGTGTAACGAGGCTTCTGTTGCGTAGCTAGATATTCTGTGGTATTAGGTACTCTGCCTCCTATAACCTCTACACTCCATAGACAATTGAGTTTTATAATCAGTAATTTCAGAAAATTAAAAAAACATGAACACAAATGAATACAAGCAACTTAACTAGGGTTTCCGGAACAATTGTTTTTTGAATCCAGCAATTTCAGTACCATGCCTCTAAGGAACCGGAATTTCCCGTTTTTTTTAAGTACATTTGGTACTAGCAAATTTTTGTTCAATGATTGATGCGCACTTCGTCAATCAGCAAGAAAGGGATGATTTCAAAAGTAAAATCGATAAAACATTGAGTTTTAGAGCGGACGCACACGGGTCGTCTCGAACTCGAATCGGAAGCGTCTCGAACTTGGAACGAATCTCTCTCCACTCTACTTCCTACATAAATAATAGTAGAACTGGTCTTTTGGCGGTCGACGCGGAGTCGAAGTTATTGATACTATTATGCCGGAACGCCACGCCATGCCACGTCATGAAGATCTGTGCGTATATTTTTCCATTTATTTGCATGTATTGCGTACACACTTCGTACACACTAGGCAACATGCCACCCCACGTCACGCCATTCCACGCTATTCTTGATCAGATCTCATGTGTACACTCTTTCCCACGTCGCAACACGTGGGCACACGTGGGCTCACGTGGGATCACGTGGGATAGGGTGGCGTGTGGCCTAATGGGATCCCGGCTTTATCGTTGCTATTATTTACTTATGAAGGTAGAGTGGAGGGAGATCATGACTATAACTGGGACAATTGCATTATGATTGCATTTAAGGGGTGACGATTACTGGGGCAATGTGTACTTAAAAGAAAAAAAGATTTGGTAATAATTGGGGCTACAGAAACTCAAAAACACGATGTAGAATAATGATCTGCTTACAGCTGATGTTATTATTATGGAGTGTAGAAATACCTCTACACTCCATAGTTATTATCAAAAGCAATATTATACCATTATACCATATAATTTGGGTATATCACCATGGCCATAGATACGATTTTTTCTTAATCTGGTACCTTATAAATATAAATTTACAAATACAAATTATTGTTTGTTACGATTTTATTTAAAAAAAAACAATCTTAAAGTAAATTACATGAATACCTATATAATAAACTAAAATCACGATATTCTTGGGTTTAATTTGAACTTTAAAGGCTGTTCAGGTACGTAAGTTGGCGATATTTTGTACGTCAGAGGTTCGTAGTCGTATTCGACTTGATATTTCCTAAATATCTGTAAAAGAATATAAATACGTTGATTAAGAATAAATTAAGATATGTCATTTTATATTATTTTTTACTTTGGCAAGCATAATGTTGAGTTCAGTTTCTGCGAATCTTCTACCCAAGCATGATCGACGGCCATAGCCAAATGGCAAAGAAACAAAGGGATGTATTTTTTCTTGTTTGTGAACTGGACAACTATGCTTAGAGTCTGTTTTTAACCATCTTTCAGGCATAAATTTGTGAGGCTGACAAAAATAGTCTTTACTATTGCTCACGACTAAATGGGGAAATATCACGTGTGTCTAAAATAAAGGAAATCAGTATTTCTGTAAAATATAGTGTGCAAAATGAGATTATTCACCCCTTTGGGGACATGATAGCCTGCTAGAACTGTATCAGATTGTAGGCTTCTTCCATTACCTATTATAACAGGATACATTCTGGAATAACATTTTAGGTTTTTACTATGACTTTTTTTGAGATTCTATTAAGGTTTACCTTAAAGTTTCTTTGATACAGGCTTTCAAATAAGGCATTTTCTCTAGTGATTCGACGTCTATTTTTGCATCTTTTTTTGGCAAAGCATTTTGAAGTTCCTTATAAAGGATATCTTGTTTGGTTTTGTTCTGGCTGAGTTGGTATATGGTCGACGCAAGGGCTATAGAAGTCTGTAAGAAATATACGTCTGAGTTTGAGTTTGTTACTTGATTTTTATAATATCTGTACTGTGTCTACTCCTACTAGAAGTAAATCTAGCGCTAGCACGGCTGCAAGTTTCGGGTTTTCCGTTTTCATAAGGATCCTTTCGACTATAGATATGTCCTCTTCTTTTATATTGTCGTAGTTTTTGTCCTTCATGTTTTCAACGGTCTGTGTGATATATTTTAAGCACAATCTATAAAAACAAAAAATATTTATTTTAGAAAATTACTTATTTAAGAAGTGTATACCCTGTATACCGGGTGCGTCTCAAAAGCGGCTCACCCCCTGTAACTTTTTTATTCTTTCAGATATAAAAAACAGATTTGGTATGTTGGTTTGGTTGCGATATAACATAAATAAAGATTGATTGACGTATTCAACTGTTTTTGGTCACTTTCTGTTTCACCGGAAATGACTACAACTTTTGATTTTTAAATGGCACCCTCGTTTTTTTTTTTACTTTATTCGATAGAAAAAGACACGAATAGAATGACATCATATCGTCGGTGAAATGTGATAAACTGCTAACTCCATTATTCCTAATTTTACAGGAGAGCAAAAAAACGTTACAAAAAATATGTACACATGTACAGTACGTTTGCTGGATCTGTGTCTATGAAAGGAATGCGGACAAAAAACATTTAAATAAACAGCAATATATTTTATACGTCGACTTAACGAGTACGTCACCGCAAATCGCTCCGCCCACTCATTTTATTGGCTACTTGCAAATTTGTCGAATTTTTATTGATGGGACGCGTCGTCTAATTTTTTACGAAAACATCGAGAGAATATCGTTTCCCCTCTCACGAATACCCCGTAGCTACAGAACGGACAGACGTACTGTAGGGTGGCATTCTAGGGTGGGGATCCTTGACAGTTCTGTTTGACGATTCATTTGACACATTTGAATTTCATTTGAAATTTTATGGATTTGTCAGTCTTTACGGAGCTTATTTTATGTTATTTATTATTTATTCTACTACTGATAGTTGTATAAAGGTAGTAAATCTAGATGGAAATTGTGGCAAAACTTAAATTGACAGTGACACTATCGCGATTTATCGAAAAAGACTCTAAAATAGTTGGTTGTGTAGCGTGCGGTAGATCTCGGCAAAAATCGAGTGAAATAATGGAACAACTTTTCGCTAGTAAGTGACTATATAATATACATACGTGTACTAAACCGATCATTTTTGAAATTCACTTAAATTAACTAATTATATATTTTTTCTTGCATTTTTGCTTTTACTTACTACTTGTCAAAGATTAGATGTCAAAGAATTTAGATACGTCAATTTGATTTACCAGATTTACCTGCTTCAGTAGCGTATCGGATGTTTGTGTTAATAAATAATTATTATAACTTATCTATTTTTATTAGAATTATATATTTTTGTAACAATTTTAATAACTACCAACATTTATTCACAACGTCAAATAAAACAACATATTATTGAGTCTACCCCACGTCTACCCTACATCATAGTTTTACATTTTTTAAATAAAATTAGAACGGTACTGATAAACCGGAATTTAAGTCGGCCATCTTTGAGGCCCATCGCGGTGGACCTAAGATTTTTGATATGCTCCTTCCTTAGTCTTCTTATTCAAAGGTTTCACCGGAAATCACTACAACTTTTGATTTTTAAATGGCACCCTCGGTATTTTTTTACATTATTCGATAGAAAATAACACTCTGAATAGAATGACATATCATATGCCAACTTTTGACATTTTCGCAAATGGTTTATTTGAAATTATAACTTGCTGTTCGTAACGAAACTTTGACTCGAAATACCAAGTGTGTGGTACCAAATTATTCGTAAAAAAATGCTATTTCTAAATATGCTAATGAGCCACCCTCGTTCCATTTGAAAAAATTGAAATATGATTAAAAATACGATTTGAGCATTTTCTAACTGGCCAGGACAAGACACTAAAAACATTAGACAATCAAATTTATTTTTCCAAGGCGCCTTGATTAAGAATTAGTATTTTTAACATAACCATGGCACTCTAGATTGCATTTTAAAATTTAATTTTGTTTTAAGGGAGAATGTCAAAAGTTGACATATGATATGTCATTCTATTCAGAATGTCATTTTCTATCGAATAAAATAAAATAATACCGAGGGTGCCATTTAAAAATCAAAAGTTGTAGTCATTTCCAGTGAAACAGGAAGTGACCAAAAACAATTGAATACGTCAATCAATCCTAATTTATGTCATATAGTAACATACCTAATCTCGTTTTTTTATTTGCTGGTGAACATTCGTGTTACTTCATTTTTTTCAGACACAATAGGGAGATAGCAGATATTCGTTTTGCGGAAATAAGAAATAAAAATATACTTCTGGAGATAGCAACCTTTATTGTTTGAAATTTTCAAAAATGAAATTGAATATTATCCAAAAATGTTTAGAAATAATCAATTGAATTTAAAAAAATATGATATTCATAACCATATTATAATATCGTCGGTCTGAAAGCAAAATACACAAGTCCAAAAACGAATAAATTTTTAATTAACTAAAATAGCGCCATTTTGTACATAAGGAATATGAAAATAATTTACAAATTTAACTTATAGTTCTTAGAAGATATGGTAGGATTTTCCTGGATATATAGCTCTATATTCTGGAAGAAAGCAAGTAAAATGATATTACATTGGCCACTTGCAAATTTGTCGAATTTTATTGACAGGATGCTTAGCCTAATTTTTTTACGAGAACGGTAGCAGGCCGAATTTGGAAAACAGTGAAGTCATTATCGGTAAAATAGTTGCGTGATTTTATTAAATTTGTATTATTTTTCTCCTTAATTTTTATAAAGATTATGTCTCAGTTACGTGGGAAAACGTTGAAAAAAAATTGATTAGGTACTTTGGAAATTTTTGTACAAGTAAGTAATATTATTACTAACAATATTAAAATAAACAATATTATTTAAAATATTTATAGCACGCCCATGAATTGCACATGTAGAGATAACTTTGTTTCTCTCCTTACCCTTTATGGATACTCTGTATTTACAGAAAGGATCGACGCAGGATCGGACTGGCCATATAGTCAGGTTGGCGATTGCCAGCCGGGCCCCAGCCTTCGCGGGCTCCCCTAGTAGTTCATTATTTATTCTTAAATAGAAATGAAACAGAAAAAGGTGACTGACTGATTGACTGGTGACGATAATATTCTGAGGTTATCCCGAAAACGTTTTTTTAAATTAACAATATTTGCATTGCAATTTGGGTGCATTGCATTTTGATTTACTTTGCATTACGGATAGTTTCCTGGATTTCTATATATAATAGAGAAAAATTGACCAAAACGTAAGGCGAAAAAATACGCAAAAAAATCCACCCGGGCCCCTCTTCACAATGCTACCCGGACTCCTCTGCCTAGTCCGACCCTTGATCGACGTACTGTACTAAAGAAACATACGAGTAAAGAATTCAGGTCGGTCAAGTTTGCCCCCCGTACTAGAGAAAATTCAAAAAGAGATATACCACTATTTTGCACAATTTTGCCCACCATAAATGATATTTTGCACACTTACCTAAGAGAAACTAGAGCCGTTTTTTAAACGGGGGGCAAACTTGACCGTCCCCCCCCCCCCATTTGTTACAAAATTGATTTATTTCTATGTACATGGATTCGGCTAATTTTGTACAATTTTGCACACCTATTTTTACATTTTGCACACCCTCCTGACGAAAGTTATAAGAGGTTGAAAATTTGCAATTTCCCCCCCATCTGCTACGAAATTGAATTTCGTTTATATCAAACGAATCGGCTAATTTTGCACAATTTTGCATACCTATTTTAGAATTTTGCACACCTTCCTGACGAAAGTTATGAGGGTTTAATAATTTGCAATTCCCCCCATCTGCTACGAAATTGAATTTTGTTTATATCAAACGAATCGGCTAATTTTGCACAATTTAGTACACCTATTTTAGAATTTTCGAAAAAAATTCGAAAATAGCTGTGCAAAATTGTGCAAAATTAGCCGATTCGTTTGGTATACACAAAATTCAATTTCGTGACAGATGGGGGGAAATTGCAAATTTTCAAACTTTCATAACTTTAATCAGGATGGTGTGCAAAATTCAAAAACAGGTGTGCAAAATTGTGCAAAATTAGCCGATTCGTTTGATATAAACAAAATTCAATTTAGTCACAGATCGGGGGGAAATTTCAAATTTTCAATCGCTTATAACTTTCGTCAGAAAGGTGTGCTAAATTGTGCAAAATTAGCCGAATCGATGTACATAGAAATAAATCAATTTCGTAACAAATGGGGGAGAACGGTCAAGTTTGCCTCCCGTATAAAAAACAGCCCTGGTTTCCCTTAGGTAATTGTGCAAAATATCATTTGTGGTGTGCAAAATTGTGCAAAATGTGTGCAAAATAGTGGTATATTTATTTTTGAATTTCCTCTAATACGGGGGGCAAACTTGACCGACCTAAAGAATTCGCGTATTTGCTTCAGCATGATCGTAACGGAAATTATGGAGATAGCCGATGCATTTCGGCGGCTATTTCAGATCACTGGAAGTTAACAGATATATTGAGTTAAAATAACAATTTTTTTTAATCGTAAAGAATTTAGCTGCTTTCCATATTTATAGAGTATTTTTTTCTCTTTCTAACGGTATAAAAACTTTATTCACATAAAAAATGGAGTTAGCAGGTTATCACGTTTCACTGACGATATGTCAATTTTTGACATTTTCTCATATGGTTTATTTGAACTTGTAACACAGAGTTCATAACAATTTAACTCGAAATACCAAGCGTGTGGTATCTCACGGTACCAAATTATTTGTAAAAAAATGCTTTTCCTAAATATGCTAACGAGTAATGAGCTACCATCGTTCCATTTGAAAAAATTGAGATATGATTAAAAATACGATTTAGGCATCTTTTAACCGGCCAGGACAAGACACGAAAAACATTAGACGATCAAATCTATTTTTCATCAAATCTATTTTCTAGATTGAAATTTAAAATACGACTTTTTTTTAAAGCTAAAATGTCAAAAGTTGACATATATCATTCTATTCAGAGTGTCATTTTCTATCGAATAAAGTAAAAAAATACCGTAAATAGGTGTCATTTAAAAATCGAAAGTTCTAGTCATTTCCGGTGAAACAGGAAGTGACCGAAAACAATTGAATACGTCAATCA